TTTACCGTGAGTTCGGTGGAGAAGAGCGCTTGAGTCTTCCTTGAGACGCAGCCGCCACGATCAGAAACGCTCCTGTCAGCAGCGGATTTGTACTAGAGCAACTTCAGTCAAGGTAACCCAGAGTTTGGACCAACCCTGCTGAAACAAAGCCCCGAGCTCAAGGCTGGGTTTGGGCAAATCACAACGAACAGAGCATGACCTTAACGAAAGAAAAATGCGATCTGGAACTCCAGCCCCTTCAGCAGCCGCATCGCTGTTCTGCAACGAGCCAGTTCCGCTTCTCTGAGGGAGAACAAACGCTTTGGAGGCAGAAGAGAGCTCCTATTTACCACAGACACGAGAAGGAACTAGAAGCAGTTCTTCTTTTCTTCAGTGCTCTTTGAGAATGGCTGTAGTTAAACTTGATTCACTGTTTATTATGTTTAAAAAAAATATAGTTCACACAAAAGTATCATGTAAACATTCTTTAAGTAACTGCTGGTGCTCCGGCAGAATTCAGACTGTACAACCACCGCAGGGCTGTGAACTGAGGGGCGCACGGCGCTCAGCTGTGGCTGCACCAGTTTCATAGCTCGGAAGGTTCAGTGAAGGTTTCTGATGCTCGGGGTAAGCAGGCAGACACCATTCTCACAAGACAATGACACACCATGCTATATCTTTTGATTACTTGGTTCCAGGATTCCCAAGCCAAATCTTTCAAAACGCAGGACAACTTTGCTACTGTTAATGCTGAAAAGAGTGGGGAGGGAGAGGAGAAGGGAGGGGAAAACTTCATTTTAATTTTTCTCACAAAGCTACAGTCCCATAAAAGGAGCTACAAGGGGTAAGATTCTGATCTCATGTAACTTCAGATCACCCAGAAAAGAGGCTTAAGTAACTCAGCAGCAAACACCTGAACTCATTCATGCTAACCTCAGCAGTGGGAACATACAGCACAAATCTGATTTGCCTCAAACTGGAGGAACGGGAGGTTTTCCCAAGTACCTAGGGCGGGGAGAAGCCCGACACTCATTTTCAACAGGCATGTGGGTTCCTTGAAGGAGAAGGGAAGGGAAGGAATGACGTACAGAATTTTCTTTTTAAGAGAAAGGGGTGTTTTGACAAGGTACATCAATCGGTTAAAAAACCCCCAGCAGAACAAACCCAAACCCATTGGCTCCTCTTTATAGACTCTAGCAAGCGCTGTGAGAGGTCTTTTCCTTCACCCTTAGCCAGAACCATTTTCACTTCAAAATGCCTTCCCTCACCCAGGCAGAGCAGAGAGCCTCAGCACGTGAGCTCCTGCAGGAGGCTTTCTGGGAGAATGAATACGTGGGTGTATCTGTCCTCACTGAAGACAGCAGAAACGTGCCTGGTTCTCGGAGCCTGTTCTCCTCTGTCCCTATCCTCTCCCCTCTGAAACAAGGTATTTTTTCAAAATCACGGATCAGTAAAGAATGAAAAAAGACCTTTTCTACAAAGGCACGTATTCGCTGTGCGACCTCCAGTTCTGCAAAGCCCCAACGTTACGTCGGACACTTTGCTGAACAGGGGATGTAAACAGGAGCGAATCATAAAATTCGAAGCACTGGATTTGCGAGGGGAGGAGGAGGAACAACACCTGAAGGGCGCTCTGCTCTCCTCCTCTTTTACACAGCGTTGTGGCTGACCCCAGCGGACCCGCACGGGCCGGTTCTGGACACCCCTCATGTCCTGGCCCCCGGCCGGCCAAGGGACAGCAGTCTGCTCCCAGCCGAGCGAGGACCACCCTGCTTTCCACGCAAGAACTGCACCAGCTTCATGCAGCCCCTGACAAAACCGGCCCGCTTCAGTGCTGGCTCTGGTCCCGAGGGCGAGCCGGCCCGGCCTGGCCCTTCGCTCTGGCCTGCAGGGCACGTGGTGCCTTCAGGCACGCGCTGCCGTCAGGCCCAAAGCCCCCGTCCAGCGCTAAGGGTGACGGGCATCACCTCGGGCTGCAACTAGGGAACCGTGCACCCTCTGCCTTGTGAGACGCGCAGGACATGCACAAGTGACACCAGTTTCAGGAAAGCCCCCAACCTGCTGGGCTGGACACGCAGCCCTCGCTGTTGCTGGCACCCGGTTAGTCAGAGAGCAGATCACGAGCCCCTGTCCGGGAGGAAGTTACAGCCCGCCAAAACGCCTCAGGAGTGAAAGGTGGCCACGTTGTTAGACAGTAACTTCTTGCAGACAGGAGTTGTTATTCAAGCTAACAGCCCACACCAAGCGGAAAAAGGCAGAAAAGGAGAATTCGGATAAAGTGTTGATTATGTCCACGGGTTAATTTCCTGGTTTGGTTTTGCTTTTTTAAATGGAAGGTGATTGTCCAAGTTGCCGGTTAGGATACAACACATGGAAGCATGCAAGGTGGAGCCCGTTATTGCACCAGTAGCTACAACCTACAAAGAAAGATGGGAGGGAAGGGAAAAAGACACCGTGAGAGTTAGTTTTCAGTTATTTAAAGCAAGACCTTGAGAACTACATATCATAAAGGTTACACCAGAATAAAGCATGGGGTTAGTGAATGTTTCTCAAAGGACGTGTCAGAGGGGACGTGAACATGTCTTCAGTGGGCTTTGAATCGGCGCAGGTCTCTGGCGGGCACGGCTACAGCGAGCCTCCCACGGGTGACTGGAATATAACGCCGCTTGCAGGGGATGAACAGCCGAGCTGCCTGCACTTCCATTTCAGTGAGCACTAGTTCGGCTGTCAATGCTGATAATTAATACTGGCACTTAAGGCACTTCTCCTCTATTAACTGCTTTGAGCAGAGAAAAAGCAGCAACGTATGCAGATAGACATGAACCACTGGTGGGGGTGGAGGGGGGGTGTCTGTCCGTCTACCCAGGCAAAAATAATTAGGGCAGCTACTAAATAAGACATCGTTCTGCAGTTCCACAAGCTGTTCGAGAGTAACTCCCTGTGGAAACACTAATCCAAAATAATCACTTGGCAAACTGCTCTGGAACGGAGCATTCTCATGAAGCGACTGCCCGATGGGAAGCGCTGCTTCAGGTTCATCGCCAACGTGACGCCAGGACAGCGCGAGAGCGCCTGTCTGCACGGGGAGGCGCAGGCAGCCTGGGCGCCCGGCTGCTCCGAGCTCTGGTTAGTGAGGTGAGGGGGTGTCAGATCAGTCACCAGTTAATGATCCAACACAAGTGGATCTCGCTGTATAGAGAAATGAGGGCATGACGGTGTTGACACACAGAACCACAGTGCTGGAGTACAGTGTGTTTCTGCAGAAGGGAAAAAATATTACCAAAGGACGCTGCTGTAGCGCAGAAACCTCCTGGCTGTCTTTGTAACATAAAATGACTTAAATACAACGATCTTCCTTTGAGGTAAGGCAGGATTAGTTTAAAAAAAAAAACAGGAGGAAATGTCACAAGTGAAGCTGGATGACCTGAAGGAACGGATAATGGAAAAGCAGGAACTCGAGGGAGCTGGGTAGAGATCTGGCCAACGCAGGCTGTGCCTGGAAACAGGGTTTGGGATGCTTTAGGCCAAAAGAGGGGAAAAAACCTGTTGTTCTTAAATTATGATTGAAGGACAGATAAAAAGCAGCAATTCACGCAGGTCCCTTTTTCTAGCTCAGATTGTGTTGGTTTCTCTTTAAATTTTTATTTTAAAAATCCTAGGCAATTGAAATCCCAAGGACTGAGGCGTAGCTGCGATAGCTCTGCCGCAGCAGCGAGCGTTGAGGGTGCAGAAGGACGCCTCGCCTCACGGCACACAGGGGCAGTCGCTGATGATGCAAAGGACAGCCAGATGGAAGGTTACCTCAAGCCTTTGCTGTACCTTTTACAAACAAGTGCTGTGATGCACATATACACACGTCTAGTGTGAGGAAAAATACCAGACAGTTCTACTTCTCCGTGAGTGGGCAGTGAGCATTCAGCCTTGGCTGATAATAGTGTCCTTTTGCATAAAGGTGAGGCCACAGTCTTGGAGAAGCATTCTGCATTGTAAAGTTGTTAGACATCCTGATGTATCGGGGATCCAGTAAAGCATTAGGGACATTGCACAAGGGACAAACGGCGAAATTTTCAACCAAAACTCCAAACCAACCACACCCACCAAAGCACAAAATGCCGTGACAGTCACCATTGAAGCAAACCGAAGCGTTTGGTTAGTTATGATAAGGTATTGCAGGAAGATTGTGAAGGGTTATGGGAAAGAAAGGGGTAGATTAAACACCCAAAAAAGGAGAATAAAAAGAGAAAGTAAATATTAGAGGTTCAGTAGATGAAAATAAAACACTCGAAGTATGTGGTAAACGGGCACCAGTGGCAAACATGTCTGATCTCCCGCAGACTTTAAAAACACTGAGGTCACCAAAACGTAACCTCGTGGCCAAGAGAAACTCTTAAGCGTGTTCCTGAAACGGGACTGGCTGCTCTCCCGGGGGCTGCGGGCCAGCCTGGCCACCAAGGCCACTGGAGCTACTTGGGTCAGCAGTGGGAATCAGACAGCTGACCTGGAACTGGTCTGGGGTGGGGGGTTCAGTCTCCGGGCTCCAGAAATGGCAGATTCGGCACTCTCCCGTAAAGAGGAGGAGGGGGGTTGGATTTTTTTCCCCCACATGCTCCTTGAGGAAGGCTACGAACTTGGGACTCTTCCAAGATGTGACAGTTCAGTTTCAAAGGGAAACGGTGGCACATTCTTTGGTCCTTCCCTTCCTCAGTCAGTACCAGGCATTACAGGGGAAATTCTAACCCCTTTGGGGTCAGGGTGGGCCCTCTCCAACACTGTTGGTCGATACTCTCTGAAACCAACCACAAAGCTGGGTAAGGAAGGGGGTGAATATGTTAAAGTAGGAAATTAACAGCCTGAAGCATGCAAGCTTAACGGCATAATTCCCCAGTAACTAGACAAGCAGAACAGCCCACTGCTGCTTTCCCATCAGAGGTGCCACAGCCCCCAGGAAGGCAAAATAAAGCACAGAAATGACCAGTTAGCAGACTGGGAGCAGCATAAATGTTCTTAACTTCAGCAAATACTCACTCAGCAGACTTCCAGAAATGCCCCGGGTGGGAGAGCCGACGGTTCAATTTTGGCAGTTTTTCAAGCATATCCATGAGGACAGTGAAGCTAGGTCTCTCACCAAGATCAAAGGACCAGCACGCTGAGAGAATTTCCTGCAAAGGGTATTTGTGGCTCGTTATCTCCACTTAGTCCACAGGTCAACTGTGCAGACCAAGCAACTGACTGAGCACTGATTTGTGCGAGCCCAGCCGGAGGTGCTGTCTAGCAGAAGTCTTGGGCATTCTTCTAATCAAGCGGCATCCTGCGCACCAGTGGACGCCCACTTCCGTATGACCGTTCCGGGCAGAGGCCCGGTACCTAACCTGGTCGCCCATTCTAACCTGTTCTCTCTCCTGCCCTGTATCTTCAGAGCTGTAGTAAGAGCCAAACAGATCTCCTCTTTGAGCAGCTCCCTCTTTTCCTGATAAATAGCTATACGGAAGGATTCCTGCGACTGAGGTACTTACGTTGACTTCCTTCCCCAAACTGACAGTTGCAAGGACTTGTTTCACTCCTTCCCCGCTGCCAACCTGCCAGATGAGCGCCTCTGCAGGCTGGTTCTTGAAGGGCCACTCTCTTGCTTGCAGCTCATACCACACAGTCCTGCAACATCAACAGACAAATCAAGCCTTTGCCTGCTCTTCAGGGAAGGATACAAAACCCTGACCCTGTTCCCATTTCTTTGGATGAGCTCTGGAAGGTGTCTAAGGCTGTGCAGCAAATCCCTCCCACTCCTGCCCGTGACTGTTGCAGTCATTGAGAAAAACACATCCTAGCCAGAATCCCGAGTCCGTGAGAAGAGGAGCACTGACCAGCAGGGCTCAGGTCTGTAACAAATCCCACTTAGCGAGCTCCCATGGTACCCCCAGGCGTCCCTCTCTTACCCAAAGGCATAGATATCCGCAGCTTTGGAGAAAGGCAGTTTGTCTTCATCCTTCCCAGGGGCCATCTCACGAACAATTTCAGGGGCCAGGTAGCACAACCAGTCGTGAGGCAGCTTCAGTTCGTTCTCCCTCCTGAGTTCAAAAAGAAAGAAGTGGTGCTGAAACACGACTGCTTCAGCCAAGCAGCAGCGTGTGGACCATATCTATGCCTTGACTTTATTTACTCAAATGTTTTCCCTGACGCTTCCTTTCTCATTTTCTTGCCATATTAAAACCCACACGTATTAGCCTGTCTGTCCAGCTCACTCTTGGGCCTACAGTTTTCTTTGTGCTGTGTTCTGAGTGTTACTCCATACGTAACTTCCTAGCAATGCGCTACGGAACTGCAGAAAAGAACTCTGCTAAAAAAAAAAACCCAAAGAAAAAGTGAACGTTCCAAACCCGTGTGTAGTACTAAAGCAATCAACACTCCTCACTGGTACAGTGTAACGCATCAAAACGTTTCCCTATTTGACCATTATTTATCATTCTCGAAGTGGATCAAACATTGGAACCTTCACTTACCTTCCTTCCTGAACCACACCCGAAATTCCAAATAATCCAAAGTCAGTGATCACAACTTTCCCATTGTCATAGAAAACATTCTTGGACTTCAGATCCTTATGTACAATCCCCTTTGCGTGAAGATACCCCATGCCCTGGGAAATACGCAGAGATGTAAACTTTTCATTATTATTTAAAGCCTCTAAGGCTGGGTGTGCTTTGCTTTCGAATACACATTCACTCTCAATACTCCAGCAGAAATGATTAATTGTAAGTGGGGACACAGCAGCTGTCTGGCTTATGCGGGAAGGGTGCAAGGGAGGTGTGCAAGGGAGCAGGTCTTAGTTTAGTGCTCTGCCTCCGACCTGCTAGCAGGGCTGCTGGAAGGGGACTCTTAGTTGAAGCATTAAGAGGCTGTGGACTTCACAGTTCTGAAGAAGTCTGTGTATAAGAACAATGAACAACTGACACCAGTTTGCTCACTGAATTCACAGGGTACTTCTGCCAGAGAAGAAAACAGCAGCTTTAGAAATGCTTCTTCAGTTAAGAAATATCGAAAGCAAGCACAGAAAACACTGCAAACCTGGGAGAAAATGCCGTCTTCAGGACGCGTTAACCGAGCTGCAGTTACTAGTGAAGAGGCGAGGCCGGGAAGGAGGCCTGGCCTGCACACCTTTCCTCACTGTTATCTAAATTCTCCCTCCCCAGCCCCTCCCTGACAAGCACAAGCTCTATTTCTCTCCTTACAGCCCCTTCATTTACTGGCCACTAAATTAGCACTTTTTTTCGGCCAACTTTGTGTATCTCCCGCCGCAACACCCTGTCGGGCTACTGAGACTTGCAGAACCTCTCCAGCTCTGCAGCCTCTAAGGTCCTGCTGAGGCACTGCCCAGAAAACAGATGCCTCTGTTAGCGTAACGCACCCTTACCTTAATGATCTCCTGTGCTATCTGCCTGGTTTTGTTAATATCCAGGGATATCTTGGGGTCCCTTACAAACGAGTGAAGCGTTCTTCCTTTGCAGAAGCTACAGGGAAGAGGAACAACAATCCTTAAAAAGGTCTTTAAAATATTGGAGCGAAGTAAGAATGTAATACTGGATGTTCTTTCTTATCACTTCGACAGAATCCCAGCCCTCTTCCACTGCTGAGAAACGCCGTTTTGAGGAACGTTAAGGACCCAGCTGATGTACCTCTGTGTGGGTGCACGCACCTACAGGAGACCTATCGTTAAAGCATGCTCAAGGATATGCAACAAATGCTTATGTATTTCTTCAGAGACCCAGTTGTTGTTATACTGCTCTGATATCTAAGTCCAGTTTTCAAACTCTGAGCACCAGCTTCTGCTGCTGGTGCTACTGGTCACTTAAGCAGGAAACTTCCTTTGGAACTGGCAATCAGAAATGGCTGAGCTCCTCCTTGCCAGGCTATGAGAACGGCATGCCCTTGGCCTTATGTAAATGCAGCCTGAATATGAACATCCCAAAAAGCTGTTATTTAGGGGCTAAATGATCCACATCTCAACTAAATACTGAAAACGGAAAAGAGGAGAAAAATAGTAACATTTTTGCCTGATCAGCAATTGTCTGTAAGAGATAGGAAAGGAAGAGATAACTGTTGCACTATCAGCCTCACACATTGGTTTGTTGTCACTTTGCTGAACTGCAACCATCTGGAAGTAGATGGCAGAGGAACAGCCTGTTCCAGATTTTTTTTCTCTCCTGCTTTTTGAATTTTACTATTTAAGAATTCAAAAATAAAAAGAAAATTGCCAAAAAATATTCTAAGTTCCCTAAAAGGGGACAACCCTAGTATCCAAAACTGAGCAACAGAGTCTACATTCATGTCTGCCACCTCCTGACTGCAGTGAGAGGTTTAGTTTTATATATAAAGAATAAATATTATCTATCTATGTAATACGTATTTATTAAAAAGAACATTAAGTTGCTCTATCCTTACCTGGTAATGATTGCTAAGTGAGGGGGGTTCATGCACGCTCCCATGAAAAGCACCACGTTCTCATGCCGGGTCTGTCTGTAGTTCATCACCTCCTTTTTAAAGAGCTTGAGATGATCCTGATTGTTCCCGTCTATCTCCAGCAGCCTGATGGCCACCTCCCCATGCCACTTGCCCTTGTAAACCTTCCCCCACCGTCCCTGGCCAATAGGATCCCCCAGTTCAATCTGTTCAAAGGGAATGTCCCATTCCTGCAGGTAGACGCTAGTCTGGCTGGGTTTGCGATAAATCATCCCCTGCAAGTGAGGCCGTCTGTTTGGCAAATCTTCCACCTCATCCTCATCATCTTCAGGTTCGGATTTATTCGTCTCTGGTTCTTCCACCTGTTCACAAACAGAGAAGGGAAGCGTATGTGAGTCCCACTCCGGGACAGAGGCACCTACCAGCCCGCAGCAAAGGCTGCTTTGAGGGAACCTCGGGGCGCTGGGTGCACTTGAGCGCAGCTCTGGAACCATACCTCACCGCACACAGTAACACATCTCTGTATGTCGGCGCATACAGGCGAAGACAAGAAAGGCTTTATCCCATATAGAGTTAAATTTGGAGAACCAGCACTAACATCTAGGCGCTCAGCATCTCTCAGGATTTGGCCTTCAGTGTGGGGCAGCGTGCCACAGACCATTCTAGAAGGAAGGCCCAAGAACCTCTTCCAATAAATGTGGGTGCAAGGTTTTTTTGAGATTACTAAAATTCTCCTGTTAGAGAGAAGTGCTCCAAAAATCACTAAGCTTGATACAAATACTTAATTGTTTCAGCCTAGCTACAGAAACCATGAATTTTTCAGTTGAGATCTTTGCAGTACGAACAGCTCAGCAGAACTGAGGTAAGGCACAGCTAGTCTACACTCATACATCCAGGGCCACAACTTTTTCACTGCACTTTCAACACAGCATTTCTGATTGTACAGAAGGGCAAACCAGAAAACCTACCTCTGCTTCACATTCAACTCCATCCGTGCCTGGCTGTTGATCAACACTAGCAAGAGAAGACAGGTTCACAGTGAAAATAATGTCTGCATGTGCACCCGAGTTAGAAAGGGGGCTGCTGCATCTGCCAGTAGGGAGTGGAAAGCAGCAAACAGAGAGCAGATCTTGACAGCATTATAGTTGGTCAGAGAAAAATACGATTACTGCTCCACTTAACAGATAAGGACTTTCTAAGCAAATGAGGGAGAAAGACTTTGACGTGATTTTCAACAATTAAGTGGCAGAAATGGATTTGGCAGTGGCATGGCTGTATCATTACCATGTGTTCCAGTAACGGATATTGCCGTTCCTACTACTGAAACACCTACAGTGGAGAAGCAATTGTGAGCACTGGCAGTGCAGGCTAAAATCTTGTGCATGCCCTACAATGAATCCTTAAAAAGATGCTTGCTTGCAGCTAAGTGTGCCGTCATTTTTTAACTGCAAAACTGCCTACCTTCCATTTCATTGGGCCTTTCTGGTCTCAGGAATGTACACCTAGCCATAACTAGATTAAAGGCAGGGACTCCTTACTGTCCCATTTAAAGTAAATGTCATATTCAGCTTTATAAAACTGGGAATACCAGTATCACCCTTGCTGGTTAAATTATCCTGCGAGTCCTCAGATAAGTTCACTTTTGATCATAACATGGCGCTATCAAAGTGATCTGAAGATTATCAGGTAAACACTATGCAAATAAGAGAATGTTAAACTATACTTACTTAGTGTCGGCAGCTGTTTCTGGAGGCTGTGCTATTTGTGCAGGATTGGGAATTTCTGGGAAAGCAGAAACATTTACAATACGTATTTTACACTTTCATCTCTTATAGACTGGAAGTTTTAACATTGCAAAAGTGATCATTTGCTTCTTATTCAGGAATCACAAAGTAAACTCAACCACAGACAATATGATTTTCTATTTCTAGTCATTTACAACTATGCTCATCTTTCCTAGTACTCACATGCCTGTATATAGACCAAGCCCAGCCTTCTTCACTGTCACCTACTGATCTGTAATGCCTTTCAAGGTCAGTCCTTGTCTGTGAACTGCTCGGATTACTTCAAGTTGCCTTGGACAATCAGAAATACTTAAATCCTCACAGAAATACGACACGTGGATCCATCTATACTGCTGGTCACGTATTCCAAAGGCACCTCAGTCTGCCTAGGGTCACCAGTGCACAGGAATTCAGCTTGGGTTGCAAATCCTCCCAAAATTCAGAATAAGTACTCTGTACCTGGCATCCTACGTCATCACTTCTCACTTTGGAAACAAACAAGCTGTTTCTAAGGGTTCAGGAACGGCTGACTGAGAAAAGTTTGTATGTGCAAATCCACACACCGATAGTGTTGCACCGTGGTTAAGTCCCATAGGCAAGAGCCGCAGTTCATAAAGGAGAGCTCAGCCCTCCCGAACTGACAGTGCCCATTTACACCAGCTCGGTACACACCCCCAAAAGCGAGCCTTTTCAAAGGAAGAACATGGCTGCGTACAGAACCCCGCAGCAGAAAGCCACCGTTTTACAGCTAAATACCTTAGTATGTAAATCACATCACTACCTCATATCAGGAGAGGGGCCTGAATGATATGCTGAGATAAGAGAAAGTTTGAATTGGTTTAGTTATTTTTTTTTTAAAGCAGAATTATTGTTCTTGGGCAGCATGCAGAAGTTTACTAACAAGTTGCTTTTTGGCAGCAAAAGCTGGTTAGTAGAATTAAAACAATCAACTCACCTGGGAAGATAAATTGTTGTCTATGCTGAATGTAGTACGCAGCTTTTTTTTAAATTGTTTTTTTTTTTAAAAAAAAAAAGAACAGCCAAAAAAATTATCAGGAGAAAAAAAAAACAAACACAAACAAGTTAGAGGATCATCAGTAAGTGCCCCATACGCATTCAATGAATTAGTCCCAACTCACTGTGGGGAAACAGATTAGTAGATTATCAGCCTGCTTGAATTTCAGCACATGCATTTTTGGAAGCCTGTGACGGATGATACCCATCAAACGAAAGCTCTGTCACCAGTGAGCAAACAGGCTGGTGGGAAAACAACACGTTCAGACTTCACGTGGCAGAAGTAAACGGAGAGCACCCAGGAATGCTAAAAGGCAGGCCACGTACAGCCTGCTGCTTTCGAGGCTCTCTCGTGTCTTCAGCTTTTCAGAGATGCACCCAGAGAAGCTGAAGCTTATGAGCCACCTGCAAGCATTTTTTTTTTTTTTTTCAGTGAATTTGAGCAGTACATCCTGATACAAAGTAGTTGCTGTGGAATCCTCGTACTAAACTGGCTCTGCTTCTGCTCCGTTTGAGTAGGCTGAAATAGCAGCTTTCGCTCACAGATCAAAAGCTTGATGCAAAACACAGCAACGCTGAAGGCCAGATGTAGCAGCTACCGAGCAGCATGTGACTTTGTTTCCAGATTAAAGGAATTAAATTTATTCTCACTATGTAAATCTTTGCCCTTGTCAGAGATTCTTACCTCTGTCGACTTTGGTAAAGTTTGCACATTTGGGTTCTTAATCTGTAAAGCACGTAGGGTAAATTCTTCTCCACCATACGTGTATGTCAGTGGTTTAAAAATGAGTGTTGATTGTTGGTTATCTTTTGGAAGGGACTGGTGAAATCATTCATTCCAGTTCTCATTTTTATGTTTTGCTCTAGCAATCAACTTACTCATGATTTAAAGCCACTGGTGACCAAACATAGCAGGCAGCATGCATTTTACAATACAATGAGAAAAGGGAGGAGAAAGCACATGATGATTTTTGTTTAGTCCTTTTCAAAAAAGGAGAAAACAGAAAGATCAAATCATTTAAGAAAGTGCCAGCGTTCCTCAATGATCTGTCTCCTGCAAACTTATCTTGTTGCTACCACTTAAAAACTTGTAAGAACAGACCCTTTTCTTTTATCAGGTAACAAGACACACCTTCACACCCTGCTTAAGACACAACCATGTACTCAGAAACCTGCAACTACCTACAAAGTCTTGGCCAGCCTCTGCTTGCAGAGAGGCCTTTCTGATCTCGGCAGAGGTCTCCTGAAAAGGTAAGTTTACCTGGGAAGTTAAATCGTCCATCCCTTTGGCCCATAGGAGATGGATTTGGGGGAGGTGTTGCACTGGGAGGGTTGGAAGACTGGAAAGGTGCTGGAGAAGATGGTGTGGAGGAGGTTGTAGAAGAAGGATTACTGCTAGAGTCCAGATGATTTATTGCTGGTGGGTGCTCCTGCAAAGCAAAGAAAGTCACTTGTGGGAAAATAATTAAAAGGAAGAAAGAATTCCCCTCAATGTTTGCTGAACAATGGAGAAAGGAAAGCTGTTCCTAGCCCTGACCATAGCACAGTTCTAAGTGAGCAGGCAGCTGGAGCTGTGCACAACCTATGGCTTACAAGCAGAAAATGCCACATATCGAAGTCTCCTTGCAAGGTGAAAGCTCAAGGTACCGTTCTTGCTCCAACCAGCAAGATACTGGTGCCACCTCTCCTTACAGTAGCTCCTGAGTGACTTACAGACACAAGACCCACTTCTGTCCCCATGTACCTTTTTAGTTAGTGCCTTGGGAAGAGTTCCAAATTGCGGTTCTGTTGGCCTGTCTACTGGATTATTGATATCGGAAGGGACAGACTCTGTTCTTCTTATTTTTGTTACTGAAAAACAGGTTGGAGAAGGGAGAAAATAGCTTTAAATCAGACTTTTCATTCTTGTGATACCACCAGTCACACTGAAATGCTAAGAATTTGTAGAAAATTACTTACTGGGAAGGAAGGATATTCTACAAGCAGGTGCCTCTTTAGTACATTTGTTGTGACATTTTAATCTGAAAGAGAAACATCACATGTTAAATAGCAACTTGTTCTTTCCCAAGAAGAGGAAGCCTACCCTTAATTTCTAATTTTTATGCTAATCTCAGAGGGAGTTCTGGAATGCTCTGGGCCCCAAAGCACCGTGCATCCATATGAAGAATCCTATTATGTGTGTCATTAGGCTAATGAAAGCCATATACATATCTCAGTATCTGATTTATTTTTAGTATAGTTATCTTCACTGACTCCTTCAGCGACAGCAAAGCACTAAAATCTCAGCGCTCTGGACTAACAACCCAGACAGAGACGCAAAACCTAAAATCCTCACTGTTATTTAGGTATCCAGCTCCCACTACAAGATCTGCCCCTGATCAGGTAGGAAGCCTGTGGCAGGGAAATAAATTTGGTTCATCCATGTGTCAGGCTGCCAACCTGAAGTATAGTCATGCCAAAGCATCCCTTCGCCAGTTCAGAAGCTGACTGAAAAAATGATGCCACTGCTAAGAGCACATCACATCAAGAGATACACGTTCCTGGCAAACTTTCATGGATCAAGTGAAAAAGGTCACCACTGTGTGCTCACCTGCAGTACTTACACTTCACCCCGAACATCATGCTTTTCTGACAGACTTGGCAAATCTGAGATAACCAAGACTTTGTAGAGAACCTAGGTAGAGACAAGAGGGGAAAAATGATGTTCCACTGGCGCCTAAAGGAAAATTAGTGTTTGTAGGTAGTTACAGACAGGCTATACTTCTTTAGCTCTTTCTGAAAAGGGCGAGTGGTGCTGAGGAGAAGACTTCTCACTTTCCTGATCAAAAGCAACCAAGAGAAGGCTGGCAGCGTCTCTGCTGGCCTCTTGCGAGTTCTCCAGTCTCGGAACAGTGCTGAGCGGTGCTCAGAGGAGTCTCTGACAAGGAGACAGGGTGTGCACGAACACACATCGCTACAAGGTCCTCAAAGTCACAGCGCAGCAATTGCGCATCTGAAGCCTTGTGCAGTCAAAGACACCCAAGTGACAGAATACCACTTCTTTTCATAAAAAAATCTCAAACTGGAATTCAACTTCACCTCATGAACCAAGCAAGTACTCAGAGGGAGCAGCTCCAAGTGCAGAACCAGCCCATGAGCATGTGCTGCCTATCAGCTGCTGGTGTCCCTCCACAGGTCAGCAGGACACGTCACATGGTGCTGGTTATGTTCACCTGAGCATCGCTGTAGAACTGGGACCCAATTTACGATGGGTGGGCGGTGGTGGGAGTGTTATCCCTTTTACCAGAGAACTAAACGGTTGGCTCTGTTCGGCATTAGAACGGCTGGTCCAGTTTTGTTTGGATTTGGGAAGGGGGGATGCAGGAAGCTACAAGGGAGGAAAAAGGAAATAGATGCTCTTTCCGTGCAGGGAGGAAGGAGCAAAGTCTCATTCATTTGTAGCAGTGGAAGTGTTTTAGAAAGGGCCCCGTTACACGTTTGGCGCGCTTGGGCCCATCCCCCCATACACAACACTGCTGCTACGCTAGTCACTGCGGAATCAGAGCCAATCGCCTTTGTAAGAAGGACTTCAAGTGCCTATATTAAAAGGAAATGAAGCTGAAATACATAGTTAAGGCTGAACTTGGCAAACGAGGCACCTGACCCAACTATCTTAGAGTCACGACTCCTACGAACGCTCTAAACAGGACGCTGTGCTGGTCTGACCCCTCCGTCCCCTTTGCGGCTCCCACAGCCCCTGGTGCCTACCTGTGTGTGACGGCTAAGCCGAAGTCTCTTCGTACCGTTTGAGGGGATCCTTGGGAGAGTTCTGGCGGAGAACAAAAGGATGTTTTAGGGAAGGATTACTCACAAGTGCTTACCAGTCTAGACAGAAGCAAAGTGACCACTGTCACAGATGAAGACTAGTAGCCACGACACTGTCAGCAGCACAGCTCAGATTGGTTTGCTTTCTGCCGTAAAGCTGCTACCAGACACTGCTCTTTTATTTATTTTCATATGGAGGCAATGTAAGATAAGATTTGGTGGTGGAACCATATTTCTTCCTTCTTTTTGTTAAATCATTATGTTTTACATTTAGGGATTACAGGAATCCACCTGATTAGGTCTAGACCATTCCTAGAACAAAGTGGAAAGTCAGACTTTACTCCCACCTGGTTTACCACGAATACCATCACCCAGTTTTCATGCAGTGTAAGTAGACTTCAGAATATTCTTTTATACTGAAAATTATTATCTCTACTTCATAGACAGGGCCAGTGTGACCCAGAAGAATAAAAGTGAGACCACTTAGCTAACAGCTAAGTGCAGAAAGGGAGACCTCGACTTTAAAATGCCAGTCCAGCGCTCCAGTGGTTATACCACAAAACTTCGTAAAAACTCTCAAATATGAAGATTCCAGCATACTCCCTGAATTAAATCTATAGCCATATTGCAAGTCTGGAGAAAACTCAAATCCACCAGTATCCACACAGCTTCAAGGCTGGACACTGTCAACGCTTACAAAAAGCCAGACCCTTTATTTGACCCTAGATGGCACCAGATTCTTTTTCATCGTTACTCCAGTGAACTTTTAAAGGCATCTGTGGTCTTCAGCACCTTAGATAGGGTGGAATGACTAGTTGGTGTTCCAAGGAACACCGCTGACCTAGTGTGGCTGTCCAAATGCACAGTCATCTGAATTAGTCATAATACCAAGGTTAAGATGGCTAAACCCTTACTGAAGGGTCCTAATGAGTATAAAGAGGTTTGGAATCGAATCGCACTTAGAAGAGCCTACAGTATAGATTTTAAACCAGACAATATGACTGTACGCATAGAAGCGCCAAAATTCTTCATTTCTATTTGAATTTATTTTAACGCCTTTTTATTTCTTGCATAAATTCTATCACTCTCCACAGTGAAATGCTCAGATTTCCACTTGCATTTTCATTTTACAATTTTCTTTCTATGCTTTTCCATTTCTAAAAGTAATGCCTGAAATTTTTGCTTTAAAAGGCCTCAGATACATGTGTAGTATGTCCTTATTTGGACTTTTATACTCTACAAAAAGGTGAGACCTTTCCAAGATACCCGCATCTTTCTACATTAGCTTCCAAACTTACGGGTTGTGTCCGAGACAGACGCATCAGGATAGCTAAACCACTAAATGGCAGCGATAGTTACTGGATGAAAAGACAAGTCCTAGTCCTGTAAGCTGTTAAGCACCTGAACAGACTCATCAGCATCATGGTAAGCACTCCACATTTAAGCACGTGCTGAAGCGTTTCTCAGAGTTTGCACACAACTGTCTAATTTCATTACAGATGATGATTGCTGATGAACACCCAAAGACACCAAATGGTTGGATACGAAGTTACTTCTAGTACCAGGAGGCATCAGTAACAGCTGTCTGCAGTCACAGACAAGCAATTACACCCAAACCCCTTGCTTTAACCCTTTAAACATCAGTATTCCTTTTCCTTGCTTTTGTCATCTGAAGAAATACCAGGTACAGAAAAGACCATGTAAACATCCTGCAGTTCTCCAGTAGGCCAAGCTCCTGTGAAAGTCCACAGAAACTGGGATAGAAGGCCCCATTGAGGACCTCCTGAGGTTGCACAGGGATGATCAACAGACAGTTGACAAGGACAGGTCTTCTCTCTCAGCAATGAAATGAAGACAGCCCTGTAAAAATCTCTTACCGAACCTAGAGAGGAAAAAAAAAAAAAATAAATTTTTTTAAGGCATTCATGTGACAGGATACACACTTTGCTGGAGCAGAAACTCCTTCCTGCAGCACCTGATGTCGGGTTTACAAACATCTCTGGGTTTGCACAGGCACCGCAAGCTGCCGCACAGCCAGTATGTCCCTGCCTACAAACAGCAGTCTCTGCTGGGGAGAGCTCCAGCTCCAGTCTGCGAGCGAGGCGCACAAGATGCCCCTGAATTTCGGCTCACAGAGGAGCAGCGTTAATGGGGCCGTGCAAGGCCGGCAGGCTCCATGGGCGCCTGAATCACGGGGGGCTACATTGCGCAATTCATCAGCAGGACCTGGACCACAACTGGACGAGGTTCTTACCACTGAATTTCAAAACAAAGCTGGGCCTTGGCCACAGATGCTTACTGGCTGCATTTAGATGTTCAGCAATTTGCAGGTTTTAGGATAAACTTTACATGCACCCACAGTGTGGCAGAATACTGTACTGCTTACAAGGCTACACGTTTATAACGACCTCTTTCATGTCAATCAGCAGGCAAGACAGTACTGCAGCATCAAAACTGCTGCCCTTTGCTGTTAATGCTCCACCCAAAATCTCAACTCCATTCTGAGCTGGGCTAGGTGCCCTTACATAACAACGTAATTTTGGCAAAAAGATCCTGAGCAGAACAGGCTCTTTGAACTCTCACAGGTGGTCAAAGAGCTACGGTTAAGTTGTAATGATCCAGTGCCTGCTACAGACTTTGGATGCCCACCTAAGACTCTGCAATGTTTAGGGATAGCCAGTCTTTGGAAGGCTCATTTCTTTCCCAGTTTCGATTACTGGTGAAATGTTAGATGAATACCTCCCATCCTACCAATACAAAAGAGCGTACCTCAAAGCCTGGATCAGTCCAAAAAAAGGTGTAGCCTAAGGCCATTTGTCTTGTTATGGAGCTATAGCTGTCTATACTGTAATAAATGTGTTTTAAAGCTGATACAAGCAGTTAAAACACATCTTAAGAGAAAAACATAAAAGGATGCCAGCCACCTGAACTGTGAGGAACATTTAAGGACAGAAGAGAATTTTTGTACGTGGAATTGGCTACTAGACGCTTGAGAAAAACTGTCTGGGGCCCTTTAATAACAGCAGCCATCCCAACCTCCCCAGCTGGTGCAACTTTACTTGAAATTTATTTGAATTTATCTGAAGTACTCTATTAACAGGCAGGTTTTGTAGTTATCTTAGAATATCCCACTGATACAGATTGTCAGACTACAGTGAAACCATGACAAGGCAACTGGCCACCGGCTCTTTCACAGAGTCAGAACTGGAGCACTGAATGCCCTTTAGTATGAACACAGCCCACCAGTGCCCACGGGGAAGGAGGATGTGTCATGCTTACTTTATCGGAGGAACTTCATCTATCCTGTTTCCCAACTGTGATTCATGGGACTTGCTCCTTGTGAGGGTTGGAAAGTTAGGCAGCAGCTGAAAGACCTTGCGGCAAGGGGGAGGAGGAGTCCGTGGTGGCTTCAATTTATGTCGTCTCTTGGCTTGAGGAGTGGTTGGTGGAGTGATGGTGATGCTGTGAGGAGTCCTTGGCGTCAACCTTCCGCTGTGTGCGGGGAACGCAAAAGGGTCCAGGAGGTTTTCTGCATAGATAGAAGGTCCGTGACTCGAGGCAAGAGAGTCTGAAGACGGGATTGTAGATACCGACACAGAACGTGCCTGCTGGCTGTTGCCCTTGGGGAGGTGCAGTGCAGAGGGAGTCCATGTGGGCACAGAGGAGCAGGGGGATTCGGTCATGTTTGCAGAGCTGTTCTCTCGCCGTGCCTCAGAAAGATTCATCAGCACATCATCTTTTAACTCCCCACCTGTTCACCAACCAGAGCAATGTTAGGGGCTGATTAAAAAGAACAGCCAATGTATACACATACCACATCACGCTGCTTTAGGCTGTAAGGTGGGGTTTCCCCCCCTGCCCTGCACCTAGCCAAGGTGCAAGCCTGCTTTCTCCTCCGCTGACACCCATCAGCTACAGTAACCTTTAAAAAGAGAACGGCAGTAACAACTACCCTTCTTTCCCATCTGTAGCTGTCTCTCAGAAGCTAAAATCGGGTCCTGTGTTCTAAGACGGGCTGAGTTTTAACAGACTGGGGCCCTACTGAAGGATGAGGGATGTACATACCTACATAAAATGGGCACCCACCTCCCACTGCAAACCTACGTGGATTTGGCGCCAATCTGTTTGGACAAATCCGTACATCCCACCTGGCACCCTGTCTGCTTTGAGACTGGTCTTTGGTAAAAAGAGGAAACTATTTTATATTAGCCAACAGAGCTGCTAAATACCACTTAAACTGAGAAAGGCCATTAGACTGGAAACTAGGAGTACCTAGGAGCTCCCGATAGTCATTTGGCCAGCTGACACCTCTGGAGTACTGGGGCACTGCTGTTCAAGGACAGGCAGCAGCAGCACCCAGCACAGGGCTGCTGTGTTTGTTCAGGCTGCATTAGCTAGAGCTGCAGCAGGGACAGACAGCTGGACAAAAAGCAACCACCACATCCTGCTGGGTCGCAGGTGCAGCCAGCTCTGCCTCCTGCCATGCCTAGCACTGTAGCTCAGAATGGTCAGGACAGCTTGTAGACTTCTGGGTATAAATGGGGGGGAAAAGTATAAAGACCTGCAGGCAGCAAAGTGGGAATGCACAGATTATTGGGATAATTTCAGAGGCTTAATTCATCAGGATAACTCTCTGGCTTAATTTTAAGTATGTCCTTAATGACTTAAATCAAGGTGAAAAGTCAAAGCTTCAGAGCCTGGTGTCCTGTTGACCAGTCAGTGGTTGAAAAGAGATCATTTACCCAGGTTTTAAAAAACGCCATTTCTTCATAATAAGTGAACGCCATGAATTCTGAACAACAGCTGGTTTTGCCACAGTATGGATGGGAAATATTTGACAACCCAGGACATGAAAGATTAGAAAAAGGAAACACACAGCTGAGCTGCTTGCTGACTTTTCCATTAACTAATCTTTCTGATTTGCAAATGGTATGAACTGTCGTAATAGCAACAGGAAAGATCACCTTTCAGTGACAGGCTGATAATTATTACAAACAAAGACCTGATGCACGTTAGTACCAGTGTGCTGTGACAAAAACCTCTGTACAAACAGATTTTACAATGCCTTTGAAAGGAGCCTAGGGAAGGTGACAGGAAGACGGTGAAACAGCACTCTGGGAATCTTGAGCTTGACTGCTCTTAAATAACCTGTGGTCAGACCCATTTGTATGCTGAACACACGCATTTCTAATTATACAGTACCCTTCTTTCCATAATTTCAAGGTAGATCGGGGTTCTTTCTACCTCTTGAATCTGCTGTTGGAATTTGGCTAATAATTCTTATCAATTCTAGCAGTCAAAGAAAAATAGCAGGAGGCAAGCGGTTTTAAAAAGAAGCGCATCAAATGGCACACTGCAAGCTACAGAGATAAAGGGTTGTCAGAGCAATGCTGTTCTCTTCCAAAGCATGGAGCTGATCAATACTCAGGCTTCTGAGCAAGGCAATGCCAAGCAGAATTACACCTTCTCTCTGAGCTAGCAATATTTGGGGACGGGATTACCTACGAGAAATCTGGTTGTACTTGTTAGGTCAAGGATATGTGTACCGAATGATGGAGGATTAACTGGAGCATTAGACACAACCCTGAACAGAGAGGGAATAAGGATATGGCCTATTGAGTAGGAGAGGATATTTCTACATATGTTTATTTCCATTTATTTATTTATTTGACACGCTGTTGAAACCAAATCCAATCCACAGCTCTAGACGCGTTTGATCCCTGCAACTTCACGCACATGCAGGAGCCGTAACCTGACACTGGTTACAGAACCCAAAGACGTTGTCTGGAGGCTTTTGCAGACTGTCTCATATGAAAGGAAGCAGGATGGGTTGCCGAGAAAGTAATTCCACAGAACACCGTGGCAGTCTGTACCTGATTCCGTCACCTTCCGTAAGCAGCTCAGTGCCCCATTGAGCCTGGAGCACTCCTCATCTCTGGCACCACATCTCTTCATCGTTTCTTTCACCTTGGACTCATTCATTTCTAGTAAGGCATCTAAGGTTAGCTCCTCTGGTATTCGCTGCAGAAAAACAAGAGACATTTTTTTTTAATATACGTATATAAATAAGCCTGTCACTTGTTATTCTGATGCACTTTAAATAGTGCCACTGTCTCACTGCCTGGTCTGACTCATGATTTACTCATTTTGGTAGTGCATCTCTCTCAAGGATCCCTGGGTCAGTAACGACCATGTGGCAGATCTCAGCCAGCGCTCAAGAGCTCTCTCTCCTCCCTACATCATGAGAGCCCAGGCATATGCTCAAGTGTGCTCTGTACCACTAGGATGTTACGGTCGCTCTCTGGTATTTAGGTTAGGATTAGGGGGTGACTGAAATATTCTTCTACGCTTGTGGAAAGTTTTCACTTAGTATTTTTGAAAAGCTACTGAGAAAAGCTTAACTTTTTCATTAACAATAGCAGTCAGAAACAAAACAGGCCTAAAAAACCTGAAAAAAATGTCAGATAAAGATGTTTGGCTTTTCAGTACGGCAGTGAAAAGTAAAAACAGTGAGGAAAATTACTCCTTTTGTTAAACAAAATGAAATGTTTTGACAAAGAGATAGTGACCTCCTCCTCAAGCAATTTTTCCTTCATTAGAGAACCAGCCTTACCCGTATCTTGCATGGAAAGATATTTATGCAGAACTCCTTGTATGTCTTAATACACCAAAGACCCCAAAGTGATAAGGTTTAGATCAGGCAGACACATAAGATACAAGAGACTGGAAAGCAGAAATGATCTGGTATTTCCTGACACAGAATTGGCTGTGTCGCCTCTCTCCTCCCCCATTCAAATGTTTCCAGTGTAAGTCTGCAGCAATTGTGGTTAATAAACAAAACCAGGATATTTAGCCCAGTTACCCAGGAATTTCCCTGAAAGTTTTGCCTAAACAAACCTCACTGCTGCCTACTCTCACAATGAGGTCACAAATTTCACAATATTTGGCCTCTTTCCTAAAGTTTCAACTCCCTGAATCAAGCTATATAAAAGGGTTTCAACTTTTACTTGAAGAGGAAACTCAAGTGTGTCTCACTGTCTGGACAAATAAAAAGCTTGAAATCCTCTGATTCTTAAACCCCACTTCCGACTATGAATCCAATTTCAATGAATGTTGTTGAATGTTCTTTAACAATCGCATCTTTCTAAATCCAGACTCATGCCTTTGAGATCTGACGCATGACTTAACTGTGACAGTGCTAGAAACAGCCCCAACCTTTGGAGCTTCGTAGGTGGTAACACAAAGAGTAACCACATAGTTTCCATTTTTAGTAACTGTTGTATGGAGCAAAGAGAAAGAATAAATTAAGAAAGGGAAGAAGTCTAAGAACTGCATCCTGTATCTTCCGTCACATGCCCTGAACCGGACGAAACACAAAACACAGCTGACTCAAGGAGAAGCCAAGAATTTAAATGAGCAGTAAGCACAAAGCAGGTCCATAGTAGAGCCAGAGTTCAATGAAGTTTGGGCAAATTTTCTTGTTCTTCTATAATTACTATTAGCACAAAAACCAAAGCACAGATATCCCAGCTGACTCTAGGAATTAATATTCATTTTTCTGCACACCTGCACCACCAAGATGCAGGAGTAAGACTGCCCCAAAAAGGTTGTTCCCAATTGACTTCCACTTGGATAAAATGCAGAAAGCCCAAGGACTCCAGTGAAAACGCTCTGCAAAATCTGCCCCCCTGGGACTCCTAACCTGATACTACACTCCAAAGGACAAAAACCCCCAGGGGTTCAGATCATCTGAGCTGAAGCTGGAATGGGTTTCCACAACTCCAATGTTCCAGCACAAAGCCGGTACAGGTTTGCTCAGACAGAAATAAACCAAGTCTTTCTTACAGTTCCTTCCCCAGCACCCCCCGAATTCCTCTCCCCTGCACGCAGACGGGCAGCTCACAGAAGCATCTTTGTTCAGCGGTATCACAAGGGCAGTTCTGCAATGCAGGACATCGCTCGCAGCCACACAAGCAGCTCTAAAAGGGACAGTGACTGGGGGCAAAAACGCAGCGAGTTTTAGGGTAACACAGGAGAAAGTTTTTTACACCGCCATGAGTGCCCCTGTGCTCTGGAGCAGGGAAGCTAATGTTTCCCCATTAATCACAAGGGAAAGCCAACGTCTCCTACAAAAACATCCCATTTCATGCATTTACACGGTCTTAGAGTAAGTGGGATTACGGCTATGACATTCTTGAATTATCCTGAAACATTTTCTCACCCCCACCACTCCCCACTGAGAAAACAACCCAGATGATGTAGCCACTGTTTTAAGCAGCAGCGTCATTCTAGATCCCAGTACAAGCTACCAAGTCACGTTACCCCGTATCGCCTCACCCCCCCTATCCTTCACCCAACACAAATGTAACCAGTAACTTATTAGAGCTATTAGTAAGTCAATCAGTAAAGTGGAAGAGACTAAGATTTCCTCGGGAAAGCAAAGCTTTTCCACCACAGCCAGTTCCACAGCCCAGACTTTAAACAGCCAGCGCAAGCAGCTGAACTGCAGGGCCAGCTGGGACGGGACTGGTGGCAGCACCGTTTGGGATCCACTTTCTCCAATGCCTGCTCCGTAGCAGGATCCGGAGTGGACAAGCACCACTGATCTGTGGTGCTAACACTCAGGGTGGTGACTGGCACAGAAGGTATCAAGGCTTGGCAGCAAACAACATTTGGGTCGGCAGAAATGTTAGCGAGCCATGATGCCTTGTAAAAGCAAGTTTGGCATCAGACTGAAACATGTTCTTCCTGCCCGGTTTAGAGATCACAGCAAAGTCAGTAAAGCAAATCCCAATAAAATAATTTTTAATACCCCAAACCACAGAGGCTACGGAAAAAAAAGGAGGAAATCAGTCTGGTCTGCAAGCCTGTGTCCACTCAAGCAGCCAGGATGCAGCCAGGTTCTCTACTGTCTGCTCTCCTTTTACAAGGAGGGCAAAGTCCAGCAGTTACCCAGGGCAGATGCCACCACACCTTTGCCAAGAGCCTTGTCCCTGTACAGTCAGTCCTCAGTGGAGTAAGAAATGGGCTATTAGGCCTTTGAAGGAAAAAAATGAGTGCGTGCTTCCATTTGTATCAATAAGGCAGGACTGACTATTTTAACTTACTCCAAATTAGCTCTCCTGGTTGTGCTAGTATAGACAAGGCTTAACCGGGGAATTCCCCACTGTAAGAGGTATGTGGAACGGCATCCAGGCTCAGCTCCTGGTTGTAACAGCACCCACACTCACTGTTCCCAAGGCACAGCACTGTTGAGCTCACAACCAGTCCGGATGCCCGAGGGCAGCAGGGATGGGGTGCTACAGTATTCACAGAGAGGGCCAGCCTGCTGCTAGCTTGTCCCCTTCCCGGGCCTGCATGTAAAGACCAATCTACCAGTTTGCTCAATAGTTTAATTTTAGAAAGACAGAATAGCAAGTTGTAGGGAAGTATAAGTACAGAAAAGGAGATTATATTTGAACAATCCCAATGACCTTGAGCTGGGAGAGCTCAGACTTTCTGAACCTGCTGCCAGCCCCCATGACACGCGACAAAAGAAATAAGCCTTAAAAGGGGGGGCGGGGAGGGAGGGGAAGTAAGAGGCTTTCTTTAAACAGCCACTCATGTGCTGCACATATGTGGTGGCTTAACATAAAACTGGTCAACCTGATCCCTGTAAGATTGGCCTGATATGATTTAGCTCTGTGTTAGCCCCCCAGCCAGTGTGACAACGATGAGGGTCACTAGTTCAAGATGGCTCCTGAAACAGGTTCAGTTGCTGCTGATGCTGTGGCTCAGCTGTTGAGCTGGGGGGGAAGAACGTCCCCTGTGGAGCACCCTGACAGCGTCCATCTCAGAGGAGCATGTGGTGGGCTCCAACCCCGCTCAGCGCAAGTGCTATTCCAGGCCCTTGCGAAGGGGTTACTCCCAGTCTTCAGCACTGAGAGAAAGAAATGGGGGTCCGACAGACCTCTCTCCACCTGCTTCTTCAGGGGTGCTGTGGCTTTAAACAAACGCAGCTTAAAGGCTTGCGTTAGGGCCAAGCGAAGTACCAACCATCTCCCTGGGCACACCTCACCTTGGCTACAGAACAACAGGGCAAGCTGCAAGAGATACCACTCTAATAAGGTCAGATTAAAAAAAAAAGAAAGAAAGAAGGAAAGAAAGAGCAGGAGAGACAGAACCTGCTTTCAATCTTTCAGCACCTCCAAACTGCCAGCAAAATCTAAAGCCTTACTCACCACACATCGCTCAGCAGAAGTGATGCTAAAAAGCCCAAACCAGGAAATTATTCCTCTCTACAACAGGTAAGAGGACTTTTCTACAAAGCCCTCCTGCTTATCAGGCATTACAGACTGTGCACTTCATGGTATGCATTTAAAAGACAGAAAAGTGAATCACAGTGCATCCAAGAAGCCATCCAAAGGTTAGCCTCAATTACTCAGGGTGAAGAGTTCACAACAGTGTAAGAAGGTCTTTAATCTTGTCTGGTGTCCAACTTAAATCCCTGAAACATGGCAAAAATGCTGGTATCCACCACAGTGGATGGGTTATTTTTGGTAAAGATTCCTCCCTGCAGATAAGCCTACAGAACTAATGCCGCTGCTAGCACTCTGCAAAATCAGTCTGACCTGCTCCTTGACCTGGTAGACATGGCTCTTCCTATAAAGCTGGACAGTTGTCAAGGCCCCAAATGCCTCCTCTTAAATCAATACATTCCCTCACCAATCATCCTCCCGTAAAGCAGCAGATGCTAGAAGAGAAAGCCCATTACATAAGGTGCTTAAATTCCCACTGATAGCCCTAAGCAAAGCACGTAAGGATGGCTCTTAAGAACATCTTGTGCCTGCTAGTTGTTATTTTGCTCTGGTTTTCTGGTGTCCAGTGAAGTACGTACCAAAAAATTGTTGTATTATTGAATTTCTGGAGATTTTATGGGCATTCGGGAAAGCCTCTCACACGAAATTTCTAGCTTACATTAAGCTGTGAGTATACACATGCTAACATCTCCCTCTTCACTGTTTCACCTCTCATGCCACAGG